GAGACAGGGTTTCTCTTGTGTAGCTTTGCGCCTTTCCTGGAACTCACTTGGTAGTCCAGGCTGGGCTCGAACTCACAGAGATCCGCCTGGCTCTGCCTCCCGAGTGCTGGGATTAAAGGCGTGCGCCACCACCGCCCGGCCTGTTTCTACTCTTATTTAAGATATTTTGCTCTGTGAGTTCGAGGCCAGCCTGGTCTCCAAAGCGAGTTCCAGGAAAGGCGCAAAGCTACACAGAGAAACCCTGTCTCGAAAAACCAAAAAAAAAAAAAAAAAAAAAAGATATTTTGGGGGGGCTGGAGAGATGGCGGCTCAGTGGTTGAAAGCACTGACTGTTCTTCCAGGGGTCCTGAGTTCAATTCCCAGCAACCACATGGTGGCTCACAACCATCTGTAATGAGATCTGGTGCCCTCTTCTGGCCTGCAAGCATATATGCAGAACACTGTATACATAATGAATAAATAAATCTTAAAAAAAAAGATACTTTTGTATAATGATACAAATTTAAGGTTATTTTTGTTATATTGTATATGTTTCTATTCTTGTTTAAGGTATTGTACTTATTGCAGCTCATTTAAAAATATAAAGTTCTAGTCCTTAAAAGCTATTATTATAAACCTTTTAGGATAATTAAGAAACCCAGGTTAGTAGTTAGTCATCTATAACAATCAAACATAGTCATATTAGGTATATTTTCAAAGTCATACAGAGATATATTTTAGATAGACAGTCGTCAAACACTTCAGAGACCTACAGAAATGCATTTAAGATGTTTTAATAACGTAAGGCTTTTCATGACAGTGAGATGCTTCTGCTCCTGGCAACACTAATCTACTTCTAAAAAGGATGATGGGCATCGAAGAACCTCCCTATGGCATTTCTTTTTTTTTTTTTTTTTTTTTTTTTTTTGGTTTTTTGGGACAGGGTTTCTCTGTGTAGCTTTGGTGCCTTTCCTGGAACTCAGTGTATAGCCCAGGCTGGCCTCAAACTCACAGAGATCCGCCTGGCTCTACCTCCTAGGTGCTGGGATTAAAGGCGTGCGCCGCCGCCGCCGCCGCCGCCGCCGCCACCACCACTTGGCTGAGTTTGCTTTTATTGTGGCATAGTTAGCTACTATGCAAGAAACTGCCCTTGCTTTGACTGCTGACAGTATGCTGTCCAAATTGGATAAGCAGGACACAAAAGAAAGCAACTGCTGAACTTTGTAAAGACAAGGTAGGACAGTCCTTCAACACCCCTGCTTCACAGAAAAGTCTGTCAGATGTTCTAGGCCTGTAGACCAAAGATGGATGCCCCAGCATTGCAGAGGAACCTTGGGGTGACTGTCCAGGCAGCCAGATGTCTGTCATTTCTATAGTTTTGGAAGTTGCTTGCTCTGCACTTCCTGTTTACTCAGGTAATATTGTATCCTTCTTGGATCGCTGATGGAGATTGAAGATTGAACAGTTTTTCTTGCTACCAAATTCAGAAAAAAAATTTATATAAGAGATGTAAAGTATTTTTTGTTTGTTTGTTTGTTTTGGGGTTTTGTTTTTGTTTTTTTCCAAGACAGGGTTTCTCTGTAGTTTTGGTGCCTGTCCTGGATCTTGCTCTGTAGACCAGGCTGGCCTCAAACTCACAGAGATCCGCCTGGCTCTGCCTTCTGAGTGCTGGGATAAAGGTGTGTGCCAAGCCGGGCGGTGGTGGCGCACGCCTTTAATCCCAGCACTCGGGAGGCAGAGCCAGGCGGATCTCTGTGAGTTTGAGGCCAGCCTGGGCTACCAAGTGAGTTCCAGGAAAAGGTGCAAAGCTACACAGAGAAACCCTGTCTCGAAAAAAACAAAAAAAAAAAAAGAGCTAGTTAGGAACAAGCTTGAGCTATAGGCCAAGCTTTCATAATTAATAAGTCTTCATGTCATTATTCGGGAGCTGCCTGGCAGGACAGAAAAGGTCTCATTACAAGCATCACCATATTTCCCTTCCTTAACTTCTTGAGCCTAGTTTTTCATGTACTTGTAACAGTATCTACTGTAGTGGAACAGATCAAGGGGCATGCTGGTAGAACACTGGTATGGTAAAGCCCAAATTTTTGAGGAAGATATATCAACAGTGTTAGCACTAGACACGTAGATTCCAGCATATTACACCACTACCAAAAATCCCATCTTCAAATGGGAAAGAGTAGATAAAATAACCATTGAAAAGTCTGAGGAGATGTGGCAAAGTGGTGCACACCTTTAATCCCAGCACTTGGGGGCAGAGGCAGGTGGATCTCTGTGAGTTCTAGGCCAGCCTGGTCTACAGAAGGAGTTCCACGACAGCCAGAGCTACACAGAGAAACCCTGTCTTGAAAAAAACAAAACAAAACAAAAAGTCTAAGGAGGCTTGTCTTAGTCAGTGTTCTATTGTTGTGAAGAGAGACTATAACTATGGCAACTCCTTTTTAAAAGAAAGTATTTAACTGGGACTTGCTTACAGTTTCAGAGGTTTAGTCCATTATTACCATGGTAGGAAGCATGGTGGCATGCAGGCAGACATGGTGCTGGAGAAGTAGCTGAGAGTTCTACATCTGGATCCACAGGCAGCAGGAAGAGAGAGACACTGAGATTGGCATGGCCTTTTGAAACCTCAAAGCCCACCACCAGTGACACACTTCCTCCAACAAGGCCACACCTTGTAATCCTTTTCAAATAGTGCCACTTCCTGGTGACCAAGCATTCAAATATATGAGCCTATGGGGGCCATTCTTCTTTAAACCACCATAAGGCTGCTGAGGTGGGAAAAGCCCAAAACTTGGTTAAACAGAAAGCTGATTGTGAGTCCACTGTCACCAGTGATGGTCCTGTGAAAATTAGAGTAGCAAATCCCTCGTGACCATCACTGGTGCTCAGAATGCAGAGGCAGTGCAGCACACTGGTCCGTCACCCCCACCCCCCAATACACACAGAGGTACCCACCCCACCCCACCCACCTCAGGCTGACTTGTGACTGACATTGGTAGTACTCGTGAATTTGAAGGGGATGGGGGTGTGAATGCTCCCTCTTGGCTTAGCTGCCATTAACAGAATGGTTCCTACTAAGCCACTCATCCTGGGAGCAGAAGGGATTGCTAAGGGCTGGAGATAAGATTCAGTGATTAAAGAGTGCTTGCTACTCCTCTAGGGGACCAGAGTTCAGAACCCAGCACCCATGCCTGGCAGCTCACAACTGCCTGTAACTGCAGCTCCAGAGGCTCCAACATCCTCTTCTGGTCTCCTTAGACACACACACACACACACACACACACACACACACTGTGAGGCAGGCTCTCACCTAGCCCCAGCCGGCCTCAAGCTCTCTGTGTAGTTGGCCTCCTGCCTCTACTCCCAAGGCTGGGATTGCAGGTGTGCCCCACCATGCCTAGCTCCTGGTCCCTTGCCTTCTCCCTGCCCTTGCTAAGCTGTCTACAGCGGTGCAGTCCCTGGCCCTGTACAGATCTCGAGGGGCACCAGATGCCCCAGATGCCGGCAGAAGAAGCAGGAAAAGGTAGCAGCTGCTTTGTGCCCCATGTTTCCTGCCCGTTGACTGTGAGGGGAGGGTTCCACCCCTTGCTTTCTTCTCACAGTCCCTTGATGAACACAGCCTTGCTGTTTTCTGGTCTCTATGTCTAATTCACTTCTTCCTGCTTGCTCGAGGCCTAAGAAGGCTGGCACTGGGGTGACTCTCTTCAGAGTCTGTGACAAGAGTATGTTCCTAGATGTCTTGGTGTGCAATTTAATCAGCACAAAGAAAGCTGTGCTTGGAGTGGAGGTGTAAACCTGTAATCCCAGTGTTGGGGAGAATGAGGCAGATCATGAGTTCCAGGACAGCCTGGGTTACACAGAGGGACTCCATCTAAAAAAAAGAGAAAATTTTAAGAAGATATATATTTATATATTTTAGGAAGATGGGAGAGGAGGGAAAAGGAGGGGGTAGGGAGAGAACCTGTCTTGGGAGAGCTGAGCCTGGATGGGGAAGGCTCTTTAAATTTCTTGGCAATTCCACCCACGGTCTGTCTGGAAAGGACAGACGAGTTCTGGAGGACAGTTTCTGTTCTGATGCCTGTGTGTCTCTCCTTCCTGAGGACCCAGGTTTTGCTCAGGCCTCTTCCTTTCTGGAGGTGGCATGGGTGGGGCTCAAGTTCAGTGTGTCATCACTTCCCTTTAGGTAACTGCCCTACACCCTAGGACACAGTCCACTGGGCTTGGTGGCATCAGGACCTTGAGAGACTGGCAGGACCCCTGGACAAACAAGCCAGTTTCTGCCCTGGGCATTTCACTTTCAAGCATGAGTAACAACAGAACATGGCAGGATCTGGACTTACACAAGAGGTGGCAGAATGGAGGTGCCAGGTAACTGGGTTCAGGTCCCAGCCACTTCCCTTGCCAGAGGCTCAGCTTGCCCCATGGAAGGGGTACTTAAGTCTGTTGGACAGGGCTGACCCTGCACTAGGCTGTGGGTAGCTCTTGGTAGAGAGCCATCAGCAGCTTGGAGACAGCCTGGCTAGGCAGTTGAGGTCCTGCTAGTTGTAGCCATCCCCAACTGATACAGCTACCCATTTTCCCACTCCCCGAACATCCCAATCTGTTAGGAATTTCTGCCTGATCCGTCCTCCTACAGCTCTGCAAGTTGCCCACTGCACAAGTTTTCCTGGTTGCACTGGCAAGCTAGGAGCTGAATTTAAACTATCTATGAGCCCCAGGATTGGTGGGGAGTGAGTCTGTTTTGTTTTTCTTGTAATTTATATTGATGAAGGCAGGTGTTCCTCTAGGGAATTGCAACCCCTTCTTCTTAAACCTTTCTCTTCCTTTGATTCCGTTTTAATGTAACCTCCAGGAAGCCCGGTTGGTCTCTTGCAGGTGGAACCAGCTAGCCCTGTCCTGAGCATCCATGCTCTGCCTGGTCCTTTGATAAAGTCAGTTATACCTCTGCCCCATCTGTCCCCTCTGGACTCAGCATTCCAGGTGAGGGCTAAAGTCAGTGAAACACAAATGGCTCAGCCAGGAACTGGGAAAGGAATGTTTTATTCTCACTGCTGGACAGAGGCGACACCTAGGACCTTGGTAGCAGCAGGTAGTCCCTCCCAGTTCAGCCTTTCCTTTTGGCATGGCAGCTGGAGGCCACTTTGGGAGCCAGAGTGACAGCTCTGGCCTAGAGGGGGAGCAGCAGTGGGTAGCAGTAGCAGCAGCAGATCACAGCGGGGTTGGGAGTGTTAGTCTGGCCGGCTGGTGCCTGTCCCCCAAAGCTGGTGTCTGATGAGGGGAGGGGCCTGGACAGTGAGCTGGGGACACTGAAGAAGCTCAGTCGGCAGTAAAGACACGACTGGAAATGTCATCGAGGAGCCAGTCGATGCCAGGCAGCAGGTCCTCCCCGGTGACGGCACTGCAGCCCTGGATGCGCCAGTGGTGGCTGCGGATGGAGGCCAGGTCCAGGGCCTGGGGACAGAAAGGACTGGTGGAACCAGCAGGCCTTAGCCTGTCCTTTCCCAGTCACCCAGTGGGCAATTCCAGCTGCACACCAGTGCCACCCCTTGGTGACATAAAATCAACATGGGCTGCTGAGTGTCTGCTAGGAGCCAGGCATTTTGCAGGAACCACAGAGGTCATCTGTCTCTTGCTAAGGCCTCCTGATCCAGGGATGATGTGGTCCATTTTACCAAGGATGGACTCCAAACTGAGGCTCCATAGCCTTCTACACCACATAGCCAGTTAAAAGGTGGTAGAAAGATTCTAAAGCCAACTATGGTGGTGCACACCTACGATACAGTACACGGGAGGTGGAGGCAGGAGGGGTTACATGAAACCTATCTCAAACAGACAAAAATCAAGATTCTAAACCTGCTAGAGTAACAGTTAAGATGCAGCTATGACTCCAGGGCTAGGCTAACCTGAGGAACAACCTTGGCTTGTTTACCTACTATGTGACACTGGGGAGGTTACTTAACCTCTCTAAGTCTCCTGCATCCTTTGTGTAGTGACAATCATTTTTGCCTCATGAGATTGTTGTATAAAGGAAGAATGAAACGTGAATCCATGCAGAGAGCATCGCAGTGGGAAGCACTCACTGCAGGCTGGCTGCTAGAACCCTGTGAAATGATCTATTTACAGGTCTGCCTTTGCCTAGACTGGGGCCACACTACCTTATTAATCATCAAATTCCGGGTACCCTGCCTAGGGCTTGCCACACAGCAGGAGCTGATAAGTGCTTTTAAAACCAATTATTAGCCAGGCATGGAGGTGCATGCTTGAAGTTTCAGGCAGGAGGACTGCTGTTGAGTTTGAGACCAGCCTGGCCTACATAGTGTGTTCTAGGCCAGCCTAGGCTACAGAAACCCTGTCTCAAAAGTAAATAAAAAAGACTGCTGGGCGGTGATGGCGTACACCTTTAATACCAGCACTCGGGAGGCAGAGCCAGGCAGATCTCTGTGAGTTCGAGGCCAGCCTGGTCTACAGAGCGAGATCTAGGACAAGCTCCAAAACTACACAGAGAAACCCTGTCTCAAAAAAAAAAACAAAAAAAAAAACAAAAAAAAAAACAAAAACAAAACCAAAAACAACAACAACAAAAAGACTGGGCCTAGGGATGCAGCTCAGTTAGAAGTGCTTGCCTAGCATGCACAAGGCTCTGGGAACAGTCACCAGCACTACAGAAACTGACATTGTGGTGCACGCCTTAATCCCAAGGACTCTCCAGGAGGAGGCAGGAAGATGAACATTCCTGGGCATCCTCAGCTTCTAGTAAGTCTGAGGCCTGCTAGGGCTGTGAAACCCAGTTGAAAAAACAAAAATAAATACAATTAAAAATAATAAAGCAGCCGGGCGGTGGTGGCGCACGCCTTTAATCCCAGCACTCGGGAGGCAGAGCCAGGCGGATCTCTGTGAGTTCGAGGCCAGCCTGGTCTCCAAAGCGAGTTCCAGGAAAGGCGCAAAGCTACACAGAGAAACCCTGTCTCGAAAAACCAAAAAAAAAAAAAAAAAAAAATAAAGCACTAAGGACCTTTCAGTTTTTCTCAATGAGCCTGCACCAGGGCCTGACTCACCTCCTGAATAGCATTAGAGGACAGTGCTCCAGGCAGGTCCTGCTTGTTTGCAAAGATGAGGAGGGTTGCTCCAGCCAGGCGCTGGGGAAAGAGAAAACAGGTTGGGGGTTGGGGAGGATTAGTGAACAGCCTGATCCCTTCTCGACAAGCCATGGGGGTTAGTGGTCAGCATGCAGGGTCAAGAGCAGGACTCCATGGTTGTTGGGGAGCCCCAGGTGGGGTAGGCAAAGTGGACAGAGCTGCTGATGCGAGCTACCACCCAGTGGGCATCTCTCCCATGATCAGGGGGAGGGTGTTTGTCACAGTGATCCCTGAACCCTCTGTAGCTCTGGCTCTGTGTGGAAAGCATAAGCATGCTGGGGGCTGCCCTGGGGACTTGGTGATATAACCACCTGCCCCTCCTCCCGTTCACAGAATCCTTAAATTGTACTCCCAGTAGACTGCCCTGTTGGCCTTTCTCTACTTAAGCACCTTGGAGTGTTTGCAACCAGAACCTCTCCATGTGCAAAGAGGAATCTAACTTCTGGGCCTAACCCGGCTGGGCCTTGACTCAGCCTCTGTCAACAGTGACCTCTCTAGACTTGTTCAATACTCCAGAAGGGGCTGCACTCATACTGGTGGTGTGTGTCTGTTAGTCTGACAGTCCCATGCATTCCTGTGGCCTCTGCACAGATGTTAGCAGTTCCCTCTCACTCTCTCAAAAGTGCCCTGGCCTTCAACTAACTGAAATGTGGCAACGTGATTCAAGTCCTGGGACAGACAGAGCACATTAATGGAGAAATGGCAGTATTCAAATAAAACTTGTAGCTTAAGATAATAGCAGTTCCTGAGCATGGCTTAGTGGCGCCCAACTGTAATCCTTGTACTCAGGTGGTTAAGAAGGATGGAGAGTTTGGAGCCAGCCTGGGCTACACAGAGAAACCTGATCTCACCACTCCCTCAAAAAAAAAAAAAAAAAAAAATCAACCCCACCAAAACAAATAGCTAATAATGAAGGAGTGTGGCGGTACACACCAGCAATCCTATTATTTGGTAAGTAGAGGCCAGTGGATCAGAAGTTCAAGGTTAGCCTCAGCCAGTTTAGGCCAGCCTGAGATTCAGAGTAAAACTCCGTGTCAACAAAACAAAAAACGGTGTTTTGGTCCAGACAACAAATGTCAAGATTAGCCTAATTACAATTTTAGGAATGTGGAAGTTGAGGCTCAGGGAGGTTATGTGTCTTCCTAAAGCCACACAGTGAAGTTAGATTCCTACGCAAGTTTCATTGGCTCTCTGAGCTTCGCCCCTGCCCTGGTCCTGAGGCAGCTCCTGCAGATTCACTCAGGGTGGTGAATCAGTAAAACCAGAGATGTGAGTCCAGGTCTCAGCCCAGGGCCCAGTGAAGGAATGACTTCACCCCTCCCTCCCCAAGCGTCCAGACCAATCATGGCGCATTTGGAAGCCCAGGGCACACCTCCTCCACCAGCAGGCTCTGCAGCTCCCGCTGACAGTCCTGCATGCGCTGGCGGTCGGCGCTGTCCACCACCCAGATGAGGCCGTCTGTGCTCTCAAAGTAGTTCCGCCAGTAGGAGCGCAGAGACTTCTGGCCACCCACATCCCAGATGTTCAGTTTGAATCTGGGAAGGAAGGGGCGATGGAGGTCAGGCTGGTTCTGCCCTCCCGGCTTCCCCCCCACCCCACAGTGGCCCGCAGTGGCCCTACTCACCCCCGGTGCTCTAGGGTCTTGATGTTGAAGCCCAGTGTTGGGGAGATGGTGTCCACATCTTCCCCGTTGAACTTCTTGAGGATGGTTGTTTTGCCAGCATTGTCCAAGCCACTGGGGCACATAGGCTAAGGAGAAATCCCTGAGCTCTTCGGGAGGACATGTCTTTACACTACCACCTTCTCAGGGACTAGTATTTTCCTACTGTATATTGAAACAAGTTGAGCATATGCCTGGCCCGTAACTGGCTTGAGATAAATGTGGAATATCAAAATGGAATTGTATCATCTCAGCCAACTCAAAGTAACTTAATTTATGCAACAAATATTTAGTGCCTATTATGTGCCAAGTCCCCTTGGGTGTTGGTGGACAAGTCTTCATTCACCCTTATGACACTTAAACACTAGTTTAAAAAAAAACCTAAATAATGGGGCTGGAGAGATGGTTCATCAGTAAAGAGCACTAGCTGCTCTTGCAGAGGACCTTGGTTCAGTTCCCAACACCCTCATGGTGGTTCACAACCAAACTCTGACCTCTGTGGGCACCAGGCGCTCAACATGGTTCACATACATACATAGAGGCAAAATACTCACACAAAGAAGGAAAAAAAAAGACTAAATAAAGCAGGAGAGGACAAAGTTAGGTATGTGGGATCCCTGAAACCAGTGAGACATTCCTGTAAGGGGTGGCTTTCAATTAGGTACCAAATAAGGCTCTATGGGGTCTTGAGGACCAAAACAGATGGGCCCAGTCTTCTGAAGGACCTAGTAAAGCGCAAATATCTAGAGGTGGCAACCACCTTCATCTCTTTCTGGAATGATCCATAGCCTCTACTGCAGAGAACAAACGACTGGGTGAGCTCGACGGCAGGTGAGAACTTGGGGCAGCCACAGCCTGAATTGCGGGGTGAGAGGGAAGGGGACAAGCTTTGCATTTAGAACTTCCTCCTGCTCACCTGACCCAGGCCCAGTGATCCCCATCTCTAAGGGGGTGAGCAGAGTACCTCTCATCATCTGTAGCCCAACTTTAGCCTTGGAAAGTTGGCCCTGATTATCCCGTCCCTTCCAAAACCATCCCCTCTCTCCATGCTTCCTTCTCTCTTGTATCTTCCTCGTTAGCAAACTCCCATTTCCCATGCTCCAGCAGTACCCTGTATCCACTCACTCTCCCCATCTTGGGCCCTCTGCCTAAATTTTCCCAGACATCTCTACCTTCTTCAAATCTTTGCCCAATAGTTACTATCTTGGCATGGTCTTTGACCACTTTGGACTGCATTCTTCTCTACTCAACCAAACTACACATTTTATTTGCTTTATTACTTTTCTCCTCTTCTGTTATCCATAATGAAGGCCTTTTCGTTTCCCTGTTTTACAGCATTCCCTAACACAGGAGGTGATAAATAAATAGTAATCTAGTGACTGTCTTTCCCACAACTGTCTAAAACAGACAGTTGGCAAATTCTAGGTGCATATTAATTTCCCTCTTCTCTCCCTGACAGTTTGTGGATCGCAGATGTCCAGGCAGCCAGGGACAGCGCAAGGCGGTGATGCAGGTGCCAGTTAAGGCAATGGAAGGTCCGCAAGGGGCCCTGAGTGACAGTTAGACCTGTAGCCCAGTCCACGCCTACGCGCAGGGGCCTAGGCGGTCCTCACGCCCCTGGGATTCCAACCCGGAGGGAACCGCCAGGGCCTACACGAAGGGGTGGGGGTCAGCGGTGGGGAGGAGCGGGGCCCACGCTCGAGCCGGCCCGAGAGACCGTGACGTCCGATCACCACCAGCGCGACGCGCCTCCCCATGCCACTGGAGACCCCAGTCCAGGCCCGTCCTTCAGGCTCACACTGCCGGCGTTAGCACGCAACCCCCCGCCCCGCAGAGTGGTACGGCCCGCCCCGGCCCCGCGCCGGGCAGTGGTAGCGCCGCGTGCGTGACGCACCACCGGCGGTGGGTACCCACGGCGGCCGCGCCCTCGCGCCCGGCTCCGCCCACCCGGCGGATCCACCCTCGCGGCCGCTGGGGCGCTCTGAGGATACAGCATGAGCAGCCGCAGCTCTCGCTCTTTCTGCTTCATCTTCTTCAGAATGGTCAGAAGCCCCATGATCCCGTAGCCCCCTCCCGGCCGCCGTTTCTTCTAGTCCCGGGACCCCGCTCCCGGTTCCTATTGGCCAGTCCGGTGCTTGGTTCCGCCTTCGATATCACGTGACGACTGAGTGCGGGGCGTCGCCCTCTAGCGGCGCGGCGGCGAATTTGCTGCCAGCCGCGTTAACCCTTCCTTCGCTTCCGGATGTCTGTGGTTTGGGGAGGACTAGGGCAAAGTCCCCAAACCCTCTGACTTCGTGGCCTCGGTCGCGGACGCGAAGCTGACATCTCGAGCTGTATCTCGTTTGGGTACGGAGAACCCGCGAAGGGATTCTTAGCCCGGAGTTCGAACCTAGTTCCCCAAGGGGCTGACGAATCATCCGGGGACCGTAATAATGGCCCAGGTCCTGCGCATCTTGTGACTTGCATTATTCACATCTGCCAGTGACGGAGAACGCGTTGATCCTGGTGCGGGACTCTGTCGGATATGGCCGTGTGCGTTCAGTCGAGGGGGATGATGCCCCCTAAAGGCCATTTGGAAATGTGCGGGCAGTGAGGGCTCCTTTGGGTTGTTTCAGTGACACAATAGTCATAGTCATTTAAAGCTCTAAGTTTCCCGCAATGCCCCGATCAGACCTGCACAAAGGATTGGCCCGTCTAGGAAGCTATCAGGTTGAGAAGCTCCATTCCAACGTTCGGATAAAACTGGGGAGCTATCCGGCGGTGGTGGCGCACGCCTTTAATCCCAGTACTAGGGAGGCAGAGCCGGGCGGATCTCTGAATTCAAGGCCAGCCTGGTCTACATAAGAAGTTCCAGGACAGCCAGTGCTATGTAGAGAGACCCTGTTTCAAAAAACAAACAGATTTTTAAACACCTGAAGTCCACCTGCTGGCATGATTTTGAATGATTTTGCCCAAGAGTTCTTTTTGTTTTGTTTTTCGAGACAGGGTTTTTCTGTGTAGCCCTGGCTGTCTTGGAACTCGATCTATAGACCAGGCTGGCCTCAAACTCAAAGAGATCTGCCTGCCTCTGCCTCCTGAGTGCTGAGATTAAAGGCGTGCACCACCACCACCTCGCTGATGGTGGCACACACTTTTATTCCCAGCACCTGGGAGTCAGGCAAGTAGATGAGGCCAGCCTGGTCTACATATCAAGTTCCAGGCCAGCCAGGGCTACATATAGTGAGATACTGTCTCAAAAAAAATATTATTGTCTGTAAAGTGTGTGTGTGTGTGTGTGTGTGTGTGTGTGTGTGTGCGCGCGCGCGCGCGCGCGCGCGCGTGTGTGTGCGCGTGCGCTCATACAACTGGAGGTCAGAGGACAATTTAAAGGCTGGCTTTAAACTCACTATGCAGCTAAGGATAGTGAAGAACTCTTGATCCTCTTCCCACTTCCCAAGTGCTGGGATTATGGGCTGGTCCACTGTATCTCACCCATTGTTGTGGGTTTGCTTTGTTTTAATTTACTGTTTCATTTATATGTGTATAAATATTTGTTTGCATGCTTGTCTGGGCACCACGTGAGTGCCTGGTACCACTCGGGGCCAAAAGGGGGCATTGGAGCCCCTGGAAGTGGAGTCAATTGTGACCCACCATCAGGGGCTGAGAATGGAGCAGTCGGTGCTGTGTACTGATGCACCACCTCTCCAATCCCTTTTGTTGTTGTTTTGTGTAGCTAAGTAGTCCTGAGGCTCTCTGCAGGGCTCAGTTTACCCAAAGGAAACAACTTAGCCAGACTTTTGCTGGATGCAGTGGCTGGTGCTTACTGAGGCTGGAGTGTCTTGAATCAACAGTTCAAGGGCCTGCTAGGGCTAGCAGGTGGCTTGAACCGGGACTTCAGGACTGGCAGGACGAAAGAGTGAGACTTCCTCCCAAAACTATAAATAAATAAACAAGGTGTCACCTTTCAAAGAGCTGCTCTTCCCCTGTCATCTTTGGAGTCAGAGTGACCATAACCAAACTTTTTATTCTGGAACAGAAATGAAAACTACTAGGACTCAAGGACACCTGTTTAAATGAAAATTGCTGGGCTAGAGGGATGGCTCAATAGTTAAGAGTACTGTCTGCTCTTCCAGAAGACCCAGCTTCAATTCCCAGCACCCACATGGCAGCTCACAGCTGTCTGTAACTCCAGTTCCAGGGGACCCAACACACAGGACATAAATGCAGGTAAAACACCAATGAATATAAAAATAAATCAATCACTTAAGAAAAAAGAAAACTGTCGGGTGGTGGTGGCACACACCATTAATCCCAGCACTCAGGAGGCAGAGCCAGGTGGATCTCTGTGAGTTCGAGGCCAGCTGTGTCTACAGAGCGAGATCCAGGACAGGCACCAAAACTACACGGAGAAACCCTGTCTCGAAAAACCAAAAATAAATAAAGAAAGAAAGAAAGGAAGGAAGAAAGAAAAAGAGAGAAAAAAGAAAATTGCTAATCATTAAGCACTATTGAAGTGTATTGAAATATTGAAATATTTTTAGTCATTTTTAATGTCAACATTTATTTTTAAGGCAACCTTAGATAAATTTTCTGTTTGTTAGAACTATAACGCTATTTACAGCCATACCACCTGATGTCTGATCTCTTCTGAACTTGGAAGCTAACCAGGGTCAAGCTTGTTAGTACTTGAATGGGAGAACTGTAATACTCTATTAGCTTGTTATATATTGGGTATATACAACATGAGTAGTATTGTTTGTTTCTTGGCTCTTTTCAGGGGCCTGCCACCCAGCTCTCAAGTAAATCACACATCGAGGCTTATTCTTTTTTGTTTGTTTGTTTGTTTTTCAAGACATGGGTTTCTCTGTGAAGCTTTGCACCTTTCCTGGAACTAACTCTGTAGTCCAGGCTGGCCTCAAACTCACAGAAATCCGCCTGGCTCTGCCTCCCGAGTGCTGGGATTAAAGGCGTGCGCCACCACTGCCGCCCGGCGAGGCTTATTCTTAATTGTAAATGCTCAGTCTTAGCTTGGTTTGTTGCTAGCTAGCTTTTCTTAAATTAACCCATCTATCTTTGGCCTTGGGGCTTTTCCTGTTCTCTTACTTCTATAAATCTCACTCTGTGGCTTGCTTGGTAGCTGGGTGGCTGGCCCCTGATGTCCTTCTTTTCTGGCTACTATATCTCCCCTCCCAGATTTCTCCTTCTATATGTTCAGTCTGCCTGCCAGCCCCACCTATCCATTCTCCTGCCTTGCTATTGACCGTTCACTTCTTCATTAGCCCATCAGATGTTTTAGACAGGCAAAGTAACACAGCTTCACAGAATTAAACAAATGCATTATAAACAAAAGTAACACACCTTAAAATAATATTTTACAACATTTCCCCTTTTTGTCTAAATAAAAAGAAAGGTTTTTAACTTTAACATAGTATAACTACATACAACAAAGTTATCAAATAAGAATTAATTTACAGTATTCAGTTTATTTACATTGAGCAAATTCAGAGAAAGCATTCCACCATCCATCCATCTGAGTGACTCCAAAGTTTTAGACATAATTACTTTCTATCATAGCTAAGGAAAATTGCAACTGTAACTAGCTAGTCTTAACTCCATCAAAGACCCAGAAAGATGTCATATTATCTAACAACAGAGACATTTGACTGCCTGGACAGTCACCCAAAGTTCCTCTGCAACTTGGGACATCCATCTTCAGCCTACAGGTTCAGAATATCTGGCAAATGTTTCAGTAAAGCAGGAATTTTGAACTGTCCTGCCTTGTTTTGGCAAGTTCATCAGTCACTTTGCTGTGTGTTCTGCAGAATATTGAGCAGTTTCTTCTGTGAAGCAGGAACCCTGAAGGACCATCATGCCTTGTTTTGGCAAAATGCAGTGGTCACTTTCTGGGGGTCCTGCATGTTCAGTTTATATAACATACTGTCAGTCAGTCCAGGCAAGATCAGCTTCTTGCCCAAATGGCTAGCCTTGCCACATTGAAAGCAATCTCCATAAGGAGTTTCTTCGATGCCTATCATCTCTGACATAAATTCATGCTATCAGGAGCAGACATTTCTCATTGTCATGAAAAGCCCTAAGTTAACAAAACATTTAAAATGCTATATTCTGTAGATCTTTGAAAGGTTTGAAGACCATCTATCTAAAATATATCTCTATATGACCTGAAAAGCATACCTAACATATCTACAATTTTGATTGTTACAAATAACTAACCACTAACCTATGTTTCATGATTATCCTACATAGTTTATAATAATAGCTTTCAAAAACTAGAATGTTACCCCACATTTCCAAATGAACTGCATAGGCACAATACCTCAAACAAAAGTAGAAATATACATACAATATGTTGTAACAAAAATAACCTTAAATATTTACCAATATACAAAAATCCTTTAAATAAGAGTAGAAACATATATACAGTGTAATAAAAAACTTTAAATTTGTATCAATATTCTATATTCTCTTAAATGAGAACCAACATCCATAACCCACCAAATAACCAAAAGCCTCCCACACCCCTCTTAGGAATGTCGACATCATGTTCTCCAAATTGCTTCCTGCTGTCTGGACAAAGTATCTTTAGGGTCCCAGAGTGAAAATTTTGAGATAATGACCAAGTCCTGGAAAGACCAGCAGTAGCCTTTGCTGACAGATATCACGTGTCAAGTTTCAGGAGGTCTTGCCTGATCAAATCTGATCCATATTAACCCTGAAGGAATCCACAGCCTCTCATCTCCTGTGAGAACAAAACTCCAAAGCATTTTTGATTTCCATTTGACAAATATATTTTTTGACTTTTAAAAATTAAGGCATTCCTAAAGTATACAGGCTGATTTATTTCAACAGTGCCTCTTTCAATTCCAGGTCTCTTTGCAGCTGTCCTTTGCTTTTCAACAACCAAAAACTTCAAAATCAGCACAATAGCAAACAGGATCCAACTCCGTGTGTATTTCCCATCTCACATGACTTTTTTATTTTATATTACTTTTACTCTCTCTTTAAAGACTTTATTATTTTTAAACTATTCATTTCTTTCTATGACTATACCTTTTCTTTTCCTAAGCCTATGTACATTGTTAGACACACTGTAACCTATTTAGAGGTTTTTCTGCCGGGACCTCTATTATTGCATATCTTCCACCTTTTCTGACCTTATGAGCAAACCTTTAAA